CCCCAAAACCCCAAAACCCCAAAACCCCATTATTTAAGTTTATATATAAACTCCCAGAATTTAGTTTAAATTTAATGTGGAGAGGAGGCAAAGGACGATACTTTTTCAATAAGTCGAAATCACATAACCAAAATCAAGGAAGGTCATTTAAGAAGTATACTCCTTGACCGAAGAGAGCCCTGAACAACAGCAATCAGTATTTTATGGACGAGTTTCTGGCATTATATAAGAAAGTTAACAAGTCAGGAGGGTACTCGAATATGAGCTCATGATATAAAAGGGTCTGACTTGCTCTTTCTAAGTATCCATTCCCTATTGTAAAATCAGCTCAATGTAAGCATCTTGAAGGAGTTGGTGATAAAATGCAAGACATGTTTCATAAGTTTATAAAAAGAAGAGAAAGCAAGTATCTTGAAAAACAGCGAGAACATCCCGATTTTGATGAGGATAATCACCTTACTTTGGCCCAAAAGATCGTAGCAGAGGATCATCAGATCAGAGCTCAAGAGACAGGTTTATAAATAACCTATTCAAGAGAAAGAAGGTTGGCGAGCTTGACGGAGAAGGCATTGGCAATATTGATAGAAATAATCTAAACGCTGGTACAAAGAGAAGAAAGAAGTTAGAAGGTTTTCTTGATATTGGAAGCTCTACCTGGAGCATGTTTCTAGCTTGATACTTCATTTCATTCTATAAAGGAGCTGATCAAGAAGCAATCAAATTCGATAAGCACAGTATCCAAAATATGCTGAACCACATCTCGAGGCAAGTGGGTAAGAACATTCCTATTGATAAGAAATTTGACAAAGATGAGTTTGACAGGGTTCTAAAATCAGAGCTAATTATTAAAGATAATGATGATAACTATTCCATTACCGCTAAAGGGATCAAAAGAGCAATTAGGATTTGAAAAGATGCCGGTATTCTTGTCGAGGTGAGGAAAGCCCATGGTCCCAATAACCCAGAAAAGACTAATGAGGTCAGCGTAAGCCTTTTTGACCGTAATATGCTCCCTCAAATGGAGAAGTTTTCATCAGGAACTCAGGTTAAAGGAGATGACTTTAGTATTGAGCAAGAGAACAAAATTTTTAGTGGTATTGTCAATGATTTAGAGGACACTATCCAGAACACTAAAGATAATATCCACGATAAGGATGATAATGACACAACTGAAATTGCACACAGTTCCAATCATGAAGAAAACGGGTTGCTTAATTTTAAGGAAGGCTTAGACACAGTTAAAGAGGAGGAAGATGAGGAAGAAGAGAAACATGTTCAACTCGAGTTCAAAGATGAACCAAGAGATGATAAACCTCACAATTTCAAACTAGTATTGATTATTGATAATAGGGAGGTCAGAACCAGAGAAGATAGAGATTACCTGTATAATAAGCTCTCTGACTGAAATATTTACTGTGAGAGAAGGAGTCTCCCGCTTGGTGATTTCATATGGCTTTTAAGAGTACCAAGAAAATACAAAAAGTTAAGCAAGAAGGAGGAAAAGAGGAGAGCTAAGCTTAAGAAAAAGAAGCAAACCGCTGAAGAGGTTATCAAAGAAGAAGAAATCGAGAACTCTGATAAAGAAAATGATGATAAGAAGGACTTTATGGATATGTACAATGAAGAGGATCTTCTTGATCCAAACGAAATAGATTTCACTAACCCAGATCATTATTATGAATACGTGCTTGACTTAATCATCGAGAGAAAGACATCTAATGATCTGGCTGCTTCCATTCGGGATGGAAGGTATGACGAGCAGAAGTACAGACTGAGAAATTGTGGGATTAATAACGTAGTTTATCTTATTGAAGGAAAACTCAAAGGAAAGCAGAACATTCCAGAATCAACTCTTGACACTGCTTGACTCCATACAAGGTTGTACAGTGAATTCAGCATCATCAAAACTGATAGTGAAAAAGACACTCTAAGGTGGTTCGTCGAGGTTCATAACTTTATTGAGCAAAGTATGAAGAAATGGTCTGCTTATAAATGCCAAACATCATTCATGGAATATTCTTCATTTGCTAAAGACTCTGCAAAAAGTGGTAATAAGACCCTTGAAAATGTCTTTGCCCAGCAGTTGAGAGGCATCAAAGGTCTTGGACCAGAGAATTTATCTATCATCGTCAAGGTTTTTAGAACCCCGAGCCTTCTCTTTGGATGATATGACAGATGAAGAACAGACGCACAAGCTTTAAATCTTCTGAATTCTGCAAAGCTAGAATACTTCACTAAAAGATTGAACCAGGAGAATGAAAGTGAAATAGAATTAGCACAAGTGATTTCAAATGCAAAGCCTAAAAAGTTTTCTGAGAAACTAAAAGGCTCTCTTGCAAAGGATGTATTTAAGAAGGTGAACAAGAAGATATCAGAGATGCTGTATAAAATTTACTACTGAAATAATTACTCTAAATAAAAATTTCAATTTATCTTTAATTCCAAGGGGTTTTGGGGTTTTGGGGTTTTGGGGTTTTGGGG